GTCGATTCGAATGTCATATCTGCCAGATATTCAAATGTTTCCAAAAAGGTCAGTTGAAACTGCACATGCAAGTCCATCATACTGGCGAAAAACCATTTAAATGCGGTATTTGTGAAAAGAAGTTATTTCGAAAGTTTGATCTGAGGACACATTTGGCGACACATGCCAAACAACGTCCGTTCCGTTGTGCAAAATGTCAGCGGCCGTTTAAGGAAGAAGTTGATAAGAAGGCACATGAGATTGGATGCAACTATCGCCGTTATCAATGTTATGTATGCAATGTGTCAGTGCGATTCGTAACGCAATTAGAAGGCCACATGCGAACTCATCACACCGGCGAAAAACCAATTTCATGCGAATTGTGTGGTGCACGTTTTACATTGGAATGTAACGCCAATCTGCACATGAAAAACGTAAATCGTTTGAGGCAATGATCCAGAATCCAATACAAAGGTTTGATTTAGAAAATCGTTAGAAATCGATTGATGAGAATAGCAATATATCTTCACTCACTTTCAAAAAACTTTATTCAAATAGCTAATTGTTTTCTGGGATTATTTATGTTTGACACAAAAGTTCCATCGAAATAAAAGTGAATAAACCAAAGTCTTTCACAATTTTCTTTCATTTTATTCATGCAATTCGATATCTAAGCGTTTTGTTCATTTGATTGATTATATTGTGACAAGTAAAAGAAGACTGGGTGTGTCACCACAATAGACACGAAGTGACAGAAGCAACGAAAAATCTGACTATCAGCGCCATACTTTACGCTGTACTTTATGGTGAAGAAATGTGTAAACAATCAAAGCGCTTTATGTGAAACTAACAAAATTTGATGTTTACAACCACCAACGCTTAGACATTTTGCCACCGGAGTACATGGCGCCACTAGTCATGTTCTGTCATTTCGACCCTACACAGAGAGAAAAAATGTGGTATTTTTTATTCAATTTTGGTATATTTAATATAAAATCAACCAAAAACGAATTAAATTTACCATTTTTGACATCTCTGAGGCATATTTTCCAAAAGAGACTATCAATAAGTTTTACCAATTGCTCCATTACATTCACCAAATCCATGCGCTAGCGTCATCTGTGGTTTCAAAAAGTTGGTAAATGTAATGAAGCAGTTGATAAAACTCATTGAACTGATAGTCTCTTTTGGAAAATATGCCTCAGAGATGTCAAAAATGGTAAATTTAATTCGTTGTTGGTTGATTTTATATTAAATCTACCAAAATTGAATTAAAAATACTACATTTTTTCTATCTGTGTATGGTCACCACCAAAACTTTGGAATCAATTTTATTTTCTCTCTTTTGAAATC